TCCACTCCTCTGCGCCGGCTCCTGCTTCACGTGTGACCTTGGTCAAGTCGCGTGATCACTGGAGTTGGGGAGACCTGGGTTCGAGTCCTGGGACTACCAGCTTCTTCACTGACCTTGGGCAAGTTGCTTCACCTTTCTGAACCTCAGTTCCTGCATCTGAGAAGTGGCGCTTGCCTCGCTGGGTGTTGAGTATTCGGTCAAATAAAGTGGGGAAAGTGCTTGGCGCCTGAGCTGGTGTATATAAGCTCTAAGTAAATGTTGGCTAGTGACGTTTTCATCATCAGTATCTTTTGTGAGGCTCACTTCTCTGTGAAATGGAGATACTCCTAGAACCCGCCTCTTTGGATTGCTGTGAGGTTTAAAGATAATTAAAGAACTTCAGCACATTCCTGCTGGGATATGAAATTTCTGCGTGGTTCAGTTTCCTCATCCGTGCAGTGGAATAACAGTAGATCTGCCTCGTAGTGCCATGTGAGTATTCAGTGAGGTGGCGCACACATCGTGTTTGGGAACTGAGCCTAGCACACAGCAAGTGGTCAGTAAATGTTTGCTGTTACCCTGCTATCTAACGGGGTTTGGGGTTGGCCAGTATTACGGAAGTGTTAACGGCTACGCACACATTTCTTGAATACTTCTAGTTCAGATCTCTATTCTATCTCCAGTTTGTAGAAGAGTACCTGGCACCCAGTAAGTGCTTACTATGTATTTGTTGAATGAATGAACCTTGAGTGAGCGTCCTTAGCAAGGATAGACTGGTTACTGGCAAAGGGTGGAGGGTTTTAGAGGTGCTTGGAATATGACAGGTGAGAAGGTTTATGGGTAGCCAAGCGGTCAGGGAGGCAGGTTATGGGAGCATAGCCGAGGTGATGGGATTATATGGTATCCAGGAAGGAGGCTTGGGTGCTGCTAAGTTTACAGAGCAGGCCCGAGTTGAGTGGAGAAGAGGGCGATGTGGCTGGAGGCAGAGGCCAGGTCGATTCTAGAGCCCATGGATTGTGAGAGAGGCCCAGATTCCTAGTGAGACCCAGAATGTAGGAGTGGTGGGTGACAGTGTCAGAGATAAGTCATGGAAGCGAGTAGTGTTTGGTCTCACTTGTAAAGCTGGATTGGGATGTGGGTGGTGGTTTGGATCAGGTGGAAGCTGACTAGGGTTTCTGTGGTTGCTGGTGGAGGGGAGATATAAAGGGAAAAGTTTGGGGCTAAGCAATAAGATGGAAGAGTAAACTGTGGTTAGGAAAGGGTTAGAAAGGTGGAGGACTGATTGGTTGTGGTTTGAATAAAAGGAAACCAGGCAAGCTGTGTATTCTTGCCCTTAGACATGGCCTTTGGCACTCCTAAGGTTCTGAGGCTTATGTCGCTTCATAGGATTTGTTTTCCATCCTGGCCTTGGTTCTGAGTGGCTGGCAACAGGGTGATCTCTCTACTTTGGAGCTAAAAGTCCACTGTGGTCAGATGTCTTCTTTATCCCTCTGCAAGCCATCTGGGCCCTGAGCACTGATATCCAAAAGCGAAAGGCCTAAGTCCATCAAGAAGATGCAGGTTTTTGGCTTTTCTTTCCTGTAAAACCCAGGGGATGGTTTTGGCCTGCTTTCTCACAGTGTACTTTGCATTTGATTTTTTTCACTCAGAAGTCAGATGTGGTAGAAGACTCATTGAGTCAAGATTTATGTGGTCTGGCTCCTAGTTAAGTCTGAACATGCAGGCCTAGATTGTGAAGAGGAGATAGATTGCTTTGCCCCTTGATTTCTTCTGACAGTGAACTGATACTCAAAGTCAAACACTTATGAGACTGGGAGCTGGTAGCTATGGGAGTTCAAAGTAGTAAGCTTTGCAGTTGAGTGGGGGCCGACATCATCACTCTGAGATCCTTGTGTGTATAACTCCCTCACATACATCAATGATTTCACAGACACCCTCTCATCTGATTCTCACCCGTTGCCCATGTGGTTCATCTAATAAGGAAAGTAAGGCTCCGAGGAGATGACTGGCTTGCCCCAAATCACACAGTTTGTCAGAAGCAAAGTTGAGAGTTGATGCACCTCTATGATCATATGTGTGAGAGCAGCTGGTGTGGGGCTGGCAGGCAGTCGGTCCTCAGTGGATGTTAGTTTCTTGCTTTATAAATCTAGAGTTCTTCTTTCCACTCTACCATATTGTACACACTTCTGGAGTACATTTCCCTAGCTTTTGCTTCTTTTCTTTATGCCTACGGTTCTACACTGTTTCTCATGTTCTTCTGATACTGAATTTGATCTGTATCCATTGGGCCAGCCATCCTCATTCTTAGGACCTGGAGGCTGGAGTGGCCATCAGAGATCTTGTTAAAGCCCTTCAGAGGCTCGGAGAGGGGGGTGTGACTTTTCTGAGTTTATGCCATGAAGGAATTGTTGAGGCAGGATTAAAATTGAGACACTTCACTTTGTGGTCTAAAGGTCTTCGTTACGTTGGGGCTGAGGATGAGGGGCCTGCAGTCCTGTGGAGGAGCAGGACCGGGGTGAAGACTTTAGTGTAGCTGGCGTGAGGACCAGAGGCAGCATGGGGGTGGAGTGGGGGTGGGCTGGGGGGTGGTGACGACGACTGAGTGTGGCGTTCCCTGGCTACCAAGAGGCGTCCAGTGCTTCTTGGGTCTGTGCTGCCTGTAGGATAGGAGGTTTCATGCTAGATGTGGCTAAAGGAAGTTTTGGCTGTGGTGAAAGTCGATTGGCAACCTCTGCTTCTTCCCTTCCTTAGGCCAGTGTTGTGGGGTAAGTAGTAGCAGTGTGTTTTCCAAGGAAGCCTACCAGAGGCAGCATGGGGGTGGGGGGGGGGGGGGGGGGGGGGTGGTGACGACGACTGAGTGTGGCGTTCCCTGGCTACCAAGAGGCGTCCAGTGCTTCTTGGGTCTGTGCTGCCTGTAGGATAGGAGGTTTCATGCTAGATGTGGCTAAAGGAAGTTTTGGCTGTGGTGAAAGTCGATTGGCAACCTCTGCTTCTTCCCTTCCTTAGGCCAGTGTTGTGGGGTAAGTAGTAGCAGTGTGTTTTCCAAGGAAGCCTCTTGTAAGGGTATTTGGAGATGGCTCAACTCAGTGGATTTCTTTTTCTCTCAGAGTGAGCAATGTCATGAGGTTGGTGTCAGGCCCAAAGCCAGGGGCCATGTGGTGACTCTAGTGGTCGGTGGTTTTTAGCTGCCCTGGCAGAAGAATTGGGGATACATGGAGGGGCTTGCCTCAAATCGTACGGTTGTCAGAAGCTGTTTTGTCATTGCAGAGAGCACCTCTCCCTTATTTGTTGTAGATATCTGGGAGTTGGATAAAGTTTAATTATAAGATTTTACCCCCTCCATTTGAAAACTATGCTTTTGGCTTCTGTTAGTGCTTCAGTAATAGCATTAGATAGCAGTAGTTGTCAGTGAGATTGGCATTTATTCAGTTATAAATGATGTGCCTAAGTGCTGGGCCCAGCTTACAGGACGATGAATGCACAGGATATGTGAGGTAAGGTCTGCATCCCAGGGGATCTCACAGCCCAGTGGCCCAGCATGAGCTTTTAGCTGAGTAAGCTGGACCCAGAAGGCTCCAAGAGGAAGCAAGGATGCATCAGGGCCAATGGGGTGTTGGTGTCAGGCAGAGTGCAGTGAGGACGCAGCCCAGAACTTGAGCTTCCTTAGACTTAGCAGGAAACCTCCCGGCAGAGCAATGAGCAATGAGGAAGTGGTGCTGAGCCATGGTGCTGTAGGTGGGGCTGAACTATACATACAGGTGGCTTGAGAGCAGTAGCAGTACCTGTCTGCTCGGAGGAGCCTCACCCCCAGCCCATCTTTGGGGAGGTAGGGGCCAAGTGTACACAGGGAAACAAGTTCTCCTGGGCATCCTGGACAACTTGCTCAGTGAAGTCCCCAGAAATGATCCTTGGAGGGAACAGCCAGAGAGGCTGTCGGGTGTTGGAGTGCGTTCAGTCTACAGCAGTGGTTTTCAATTTTGGTTACTTGGGGGATGGGGGTGGAGCAGTGCCCTTTTGAGAATCAGATTAAAGCTATAGGCTTCTTCCACAAATAGGCACATGTGCTCAGCTTCATTTGCATGTATGTAGTTGCAGGGCATTTATGAAATCCTAAGTTAAGATCTCATACCTTTGATGTTATTTCCATCAAAAATCTCATCTTTACTAAAAAGTACAGAAAAGTGAACTAGAAACTTACAAACAAATAAAAATGGGGAAAAATAACGAATGAGATATAGGAGCTCCATGGGGTTGCTTTATTCCCCTTCCTGAGATCGATGCCATACTTTCCTAGCAGTAGCTACTGGGAATCTCTGTCTCTATTTCTGTTTTTTAAAACAGTGTCTTGCTATGTAGTTCATGCTGGCCTTGAACTTATGCCAGTTCTCCTCCCTCAGTTTCCTCACTGCTGGGACTACAGGTGCACAGCACACCTGGCTCCAGTGGTGCTTTGGAGCCCTGGATTTGGATCTCAGCTCCCTGACTTCCTGTTGGGGGTACTTCAGCTCAACTGCTCAGATTCTTGGGGCCCCACAGCAACCTCATCTGAGGAAATACAGTTAATTTTGGGTGCATTAGAGTGCCTGTTATGCAGTGGAATGTATACGTGTTAATTCTTTCCTTAAGAGGTTGGTTGGTTCAGCTGAATTTAGGGGTGGTGGGGTCAGGGATGGATCAGGAGTACCTGGGACAAGTAGATACACTTGGGAGTCCAGAGTTGCTGTGTGTTGAGCTTATGAGCATTTCAGCTGTTTGTGAAAGAAGTAGCCAGGAGCTGCTGTGCTAAGGTGCAGTGGTCTGAATGGATTAGGCTGGTGGCCTCATGGGTGTCTGTCATTTACTTCTACCCTACCTGCTCAGCTGGCACTGACTCAGCCAAGGAACATGGCTGACACATGGGCCTAGCTATATGGACCTCAGTTTCCTCACCTACACAAATGCCCTGATGATTTTAGGGGTTCTTTATAGCTCTACAATTCCTTATTTTAGGCTACTTGAAAACTGAAGCTCTAAGGATTGAGATGTGGTAGGTACACATACTACCTTCCCATGATGAGTGTATTCATGCACTAATTTTTCAAAAAGGACAACAGAAAAGAAAACTGAAGCTCCATGTGTGGTGTGAGATTTTCTAGGGACCATGTTTTGCATGCAGCTGGGGGCCAGTTTCGCTTGGTTGCCTTCTTCCTGCTTGTCTTTGTTGTCTGGTATCTCCCCCTTGGGCTGCTGGGGCCTGGGACCTTAGCACAGGGCCTGGGGATTTGGGAGCTGATTGCCTTATGCGAGGATGAAGGAAAAGCTGAGGGGGCTGGAAGGTTCATTCTTGGTCTTTAGCTAGTTAGGGGGACAGGAAGTGGCTTTGAGAAGAGACCTGGCCCCACTGAGCTTTTTTGTTTTGTTTTGTTTTTTTGAGACAGGGTCTCACTATGTAGTTGGGACTGACCTGGAACTCACTATGTAGCACAGGCTGGTCTCAAACTCACAGCGATCCTCCTGCCTTAGCCTCTTAAGTTCGGGGATTCACAGGCGTTCGCCACCATGCCTGGCCCACTGAGCTTCTTAAGAGCTGGGATTCAGGCATTATTTCATTGAGCAAGGATGGGTTGGAGGAAGGGACCCACCAGATCGCTTATCATGGTGCTTTCTCTCCTGCAGGTGTGGGCAAGAGCAGTTTACTGTTACGATTTGCAGACAACACTTTCTCAGGTGAGTCTTTCTCTGGTGGTTCAGTTTTGAAATACCTTGCCCCAGCACTAGAAGACATTTACTCCTCTTTGTATAAGGAACTTTCTCCTTTTGGCTACCAGGGGAGGGAAAGAGAGAGTGGGAGGTTTAGGTCAAGAACCCTTTGTCTAGCCTGGCATGGCAGTGCACCCCTGTAATTCCAGCTCCTTAGGCTGAGGCAGGAGGATTCCAAGTTTGAGTGCAGCCTGGACTTAGGAAGACCCAAATGAAACAAGGGCTAGGAATGTAGTTCAGTGGTAGAATGCTTGCCTAGCCCCAGATCATGCCTAATACCAAAGCCTCTTCTGCCTCAGTCCTTCTTGTTGAAAAAAACCCTTTTACCCTTCGTCCTTTCTCTTCCTAGTGGTGTCTTTGGTCCACCACTGAAAACAAAGTTTAAAAATCTGTGTGTGTGTGTGTGTTTTTTTTTGGGGGGGCGGTTTGAGGCAGGGTCTTACTACGTATTTGAGACTGACCTGGAACTCACTATGTAGCCCAGGCTGGTCTCGAACTCACAGTGATCCTCCTGCCTCAGCCTCCCGAGTGCTGGGATTACAGGCGTGCACCACCGCACCTGGCCTAAATCTTAGTAGATAGTACAGCTGAAGAATACAATTGTCCCTGCCCTTGGCCTGCTGCCCTGGGAGCCTCTGTTGAGTGTGGGGTGTACCTTTTGACCCCACCTGCTGTTTAGGAACTTGCCCTTCTCTTAGTCTGTAACCCGTGGTGGCCAGCCTTTTAGAGTCAGTGACACAGATAGCTGGCGGTAGGTTTGCCCCCTCTGGAACAAGGAGCATGCTTCTCTCTCACTGTCCACAACCGTCTCTGGTCCTTCAGAGTGGAGGTGAAGCTTGCTTTGTTGTGCACCTTGCTGTGGCACTGTAATTCATTAGCAGTACTCTTGTTAAGTGTGTGGTTTTTGGTTGCTTCTGTTTCAAGTGATGCATACTGGGATACATTGTGTGTTTATTCTGGTACATGCGGTTCCATAGAAGAGGAGTTACTAGGTCACAGGATCTGAGCACTTAAAGTTTTCCTAGGTTCTGTTAACTCGGCTTTTAAAGAAGCCGAAGGAGTTTACTACACTGTCCCTGACAGGGTTGAAAGTGCCCCTTTTCAACTCTGATCATTGCTTCATTTTTGCTAAACTAAAAGGCAAAAGTACTGTTTTGTTTAAATCTGTATTTCCTTGATCACTGGTAAAGTTGTGTGTTCTTATTTGATACACTTGATCTTAGCCAAAAGGCCGAGAAGCGATTGCTCTTATTTGATAAATACATCATGTTTAGGGCTGGGGATGTAGCTCAGTGACACAGCGCCTGCCTGGCAAGCGTGAGGTCTTGAGTTCAATCCCTGGTACCAAAAAAGAAAAAAGTTTATTATAGGGGCTTCAGGTTGGGCCAGACTCTCTGATGAAGGACTGAACTGTGACTGTCTAATGGGGAATTCGCTCTGATGTATTTGAAGGGCAAGTTGTGCTTAGGAAGTGATTATATGGCTGATCTTCCCTTGTTGGAGAATTGGGTTTTGCTCTTTCCTCCCTCAGCAACAGCTCTGCAGCACTGCTCGTGTTGGAAAGAGTTATTTCTTGGTGACCATGAGGTCCTGACTGAGCCTCAGCTCAGGTGGAAAGGAGGAATCGTAGTTGTCCCTTTGCCATGATTGTTGTAGAATCACCTGCGATAGGACGTGTCACAGTGTCTGGAGCCTAGTAGTCAATACCTGTCATTGCTGTTATCTTCTGTTCAAGAATGTTAACTACTGGGCAGCCTCGACTTATGCTGGAAAACATCCTCCTCCTCCTTAATGTTGGTCTAACTTCCTTTCTAATCAGCTTTCACCTCTTAGGGAATTCCCATTTGCATGTCTACTATGGTCTTTTATCTCATTGGTTTTAGCTGGAAGCATTATGGCAGTTCTACCCATCCTGTCCCATACCACTGAGTTCTTCTTGTTGATAACATGTCTCTGGCAGAGTCTTTCCTCCGTTTAGAAACCTTGGTAGTCCTCTCTCACTTGAGCAGTTTGCAGCAAGGTTTTTTTCCTGCAGCACTGGATATATGGACCCCCTAATCCTGTGTTGTGGGGCCGTCCTGTTTGATGAAAGATGTTGTGCAGTACACCTGGGTTAGATCTAACTGCTACATGCTGACAACGGTGTGACAAACCAACAGTGTCTCCAGGCCAAGTGTTCATAGGGAACAGAACCATCCTAGTTGTAATTTGTTTCCAGCTTTCTTCCTTATACTGCCTGCTCATTCTTTTGTTTATGTTTTTTGTTGTTTTTGCTTGCACACTTGCTCATTCATTCAGCCCCTAGCCGTTTATTGAGTGCCTAACTGTCTGAGGTGCTGGCCCACCGCTCCTTGGCATTGTCCAGGACTGGAGGAGCACCAGGTGTTTTTGGGTGCCTTCTGGTTGGGTTTTGACCTCTGAGTGGGGTGTCTTCCTCACCTGATCTCAGCCTTTGACAATCTTACCTATTTTAAACTAGGTCCAAATGTGACTTCTTCCCTTACACGAAGCCTGCCTTGATTCCCTACCCAACCTTGACCTTCCTGTGCACTTGTCATGCTTTGCGTGGTCTTCTGTGTGTCTTGTTTCCTGCAGGACTTTGTGGTAAGCTCTGAATGGAGAACCTGTTGTTCTTAGTGGCCAGGCTTTTGTAAGCATGGCCTGGACTATTGCCAGACTTTCTCCTCAAATCTGCCTTTCACACAAAAGCCCCAAGAGATCCATTTAAAATGCAGCCCACACCACTGGTTAAAATCCTCAGGGCATCCCCATGACCCATAAGAGTCCAGGTTCTTGAAAATAAAAGGCCTGGAGATCTTGCTTTGACCTCCTCTGCCTGCCTCCCACCTTGAGCTCGATCTCCTATGACCGTACATATACCACTGCTATTTTGTTACTGTCTCCTCTGCCTGGAGCAGTGTTTTATTTATTTATTTATTGTTTGTTTGTTTTTGTTTGAGGCAGGTTCTTATTTTGTAATTCAGGCTGGCTTATGAACTTACTATGCAGTTGAGGCTGGCCTTAAACTCATGGCAATCCTCCTGCCTCAGCCTCTTGAGTTCGGGGATTATAGGCGTGTGCCACCAGCCTGGTTCCTGGGCCAGTGTTTTTCAGACTGCAGGTCTGGTCCTGTATGTGTATTACGAAGTCAGTTTTGTGGGTCATTAAATTTTTTTGAATCAAATAGAGAAGAAACCCAGGTTTGACCCATTCTCGGCTCACAGGTGACACGTCCTCACCTTGGCCATTGTACCAGCCTGTTCCTCTTTCCCAGTCATATCCCTTTCTTTGTAGCCTCTATCACTCTGCAGTTGTTATCTGTTCCATTGCGTCCTGTCTCCCCTCCGTCATGGCAGCCTTATGCTCCTTGCTGAGGGCTGTGTTCTGGGGGCCCCAGATTGTGTGGGGAGGGGTTATAGAGCCTGGAGGTCTGCTGTGTGCAGTTGGGGACATGGGGTCTGACTGGGGCTCCCTGCTGGGCCTTGCTGACATGCCGGCTGTGTGCAGGCAGCTATATCACCACGATTGGAGTGGATTTCAAGATTCGGACTGTGGAGATCAACGGGGAGAAAGTGAAGCTGCAGATCTGGGACACAGCTGGACAAGAGCGCTTCCGCACCATCACCTCCACGTGAGTTTGGCCCTGCCGCACCTCCCCTTGAACCTCTGGCCTTGAATGTTTGTTGGCAAAGTCGAGTGACGGTACTGGTCACGATGGAGTTGTCACTGGGTGGGTTCCCAAAGCTGTCAGGAAGTGAGCTGTTGCTGGCCTTGGTGGGTGGGGTTTGGTTGTGTCCTTCCTCTTCCTGAAAATGTCAGAGGAGGTGGGGACGTGCTTTGTCTGGTGTTCTGGGTGGGTGGGCAGGCATTGGCTGAACACTCCCTGTCAGGTGTCTGACAGGACAGTGACTGCTTCTCCTTGGGCACTCAGCTTTACCCTCTGGTTGGCCACTCCTTAAAATGCCACCAGCAGTTATGTTTGCCTCACCAGGTGTGATGTGCCCTGCCCAAGGCAGTGATGGTTCCTTTTGGCAGGTGTCCCACCTGTGCAGGTGCCATCACCCATCCTGACCCCTTGGACGTGATTCTCCCATGGCTTGGGAGGAATGTGGCTATGTGGGAGGCCCTTCCTTTGCCTCCCAAAGCTGTCGAAAGAAAGTTTTCCCTTTAGTACTGCTGCAGCACTCTGTGTTCTTAGCTGCACACTGGAGCAAAACCCAGCTCTTGCTCTGAGTCCTGAGAGGTGCCCTTGGTTCTTAGGCTGTTTATGGATCAGGTTTTAGAAAGTATGGTTTGAAGGCAGACCGTTTGAGATTTAAATTTCTGTTCTGCTGTGTATCCTTGAGCAAGTTGCCTAAACTCTGTGCTTCTGGTTCTCAGAGTGTTTGTTTTTAGGACTATTTACTTGTGTACTAGGGATCGAACCCAGGGCCTCATGCATGCTAGGCAAGTGCTCCACCACTGAGCAATGTCCCTAGAGCTCACCTTTTCTTTGTTTGGTACCGGGGATTGAACTTGGGTCCTTGCTTATCTTTTCTTTTTTAAAAGGAGGACAGTTTAATTTGGCAGCCTCCCAGCCCTTTTCTTTAGGATTTGTTTGAATGCTGAGGTCTGTGTCTGGGTCCTCTGCTTTGGCCATTTTGGGCCTTCTGGGTCATCTTGGGGAATTCTCATGTCCTCTGTATTCATTGTTACTCTTACCCCTATTTGACCTTTGGGGGCTCTTCTGAGAAGTGGTCTGTGCCCAGGGTGGCAGGGTCTGGGCTCCACACTCTGGTACCTGGACGGAGACATGGACAACTCCTTGGTCTCCCTCCAAGGCAGTTCCTCTGAGTTTCCCTGCCGGAGACCCCTGTCCTTCCTTCAGCTCAGAGTCAGGATGGAGCCCAGTTTAATCTCCATCCTGCCATCCTGGGCCCCTCACCATCCTTTGATCACCTTCATGGTGGTGAGGAATGTGGGCTGGGCAGGGAGAGGGCCAGGCTGATGTGTAGACTACTGCTGGGCAAGAGGTTCTCTGTCATTATTAACCCTGTGGTGAGCCCAGGACTCCCTAAAACTCTGGAGTTCACAGACCTGGTGCTCCCTAAGCACAGTGCTCGGTTTCCTGAGTAAGGGCTCTCAGGCCGCTGGGTGCCTTGGCAGGTGCCAGTGAAGACTGGAGAAGGGTAGGGGTCCGGCTCCTTGAGGTAACACTGACACCTCGAGCTTCAGGTAGCCTGGAGCCTACAGATCTGAGCAGGAGACCCTTGTTAGGAGGTCGAGGTCATCAGGTCTAGGCACTGACCCCACTTTTCCTCATTGCACCTGGATCATCACTAAAGATATCACGTACTTTATTTCATTTAATCCCATTTGAAGAGGCTTATGATTATCTTTCTCTTATGGCTGAGAAAATAGGCCCAGAGAGGATGAAATGAATACTTAGTTGCTTAGGATCAGAACTGCCGTCTGTCTGATGCCAAAGCTCAGGCCTCTACCCAGGCTGGTACTGCTCTCTGGCATGCCATGCAGTGGGGCGAGGCCAGATGGCCTCCTTCCTGGGGGGTCAAAACCAGTGTAGGGGTTCAAGGTGGCAGAGACAGTGGCCATGGAAATGCTTAGGGTAGGATTCGGGGTCTGCCAAGCCATCCCTGGTCATCAGGAAGGCAGCTCCTTTCAGGGCTGGTCTGGGTGGGGACAGGGAACTGCTTCTTCCTTCTGTTTGGGAGTCTTGGAGTTACTCAGGGGCCAGGGTAATATGTGATTTTTCCAGGGTGCTTGAGAAGGGGTGACCTGCATGCTGGTGGCCTGTGGGCACTGACTCAGCCCCTGCTGGATGGCCTGCCTCTCTGAAGAGGCTGAGGCTTGGGCACATGTTAGGTTGGTGGCTTGGCCTCTGATGAGGCAGGAAGTGCTACAGGGCCCACCAAGGGGCCACAGAAAGCCTGGACATCCTGTGATGGTACAGTGAGGGGGCAGTCCTGCTACAGGAGCACGACCTTTTCTGACGCAGGGTGTTGAAAGAGAAACTGCAACTCTAGCCCCTTAGCCCAGTGAGAGCACCCGGTTATTACCCACGTTTGTGTTCTTGCTCTGTTCCTGGGCTAAGGTTTGCTGGACTTGAGAGGTGCAGCTGGAGCGATGGTGGGGTGCAGGGAACAGGGAGAAGGGATGAGAAATGGAAGCCCCTCACACTGGCCCGGGAGCCAGACTGGGCACCATCACTCCAGCGGTCACTCCACTGTCAACCTCCCAGTGTCCTGACTGGTAAAATGGCCATCCTGGTACCTGTTGGGCCAAGTTGTTAGATTAATAAATTAGTGAACGCAGAGCTCTTGGTACCTTGCATGGCTTAAAGCAAAGTTGCAGTGGATGGCAGTGTTGGCTGCTAGGAATGGGAAGCTCAGAAGAGCTGGTCCTTCCTTGCCAGAGCCGAGTACGACCTCATCTCTGGACTAGAGCCCTGCTCTCAGGCACAGCCTCTTCCATGGCCCCCAGAGCAGGCAGAGGTTCCTGGGAAGCAGCGGGGGGCCTTGTGCCCAAGCCGTGGCTGGAGCCATCTCTTGGCATTTTAGTTGTCTTCACCAGCAGAGAAGCTGCAGAGGCATCCTGCCACTTGCATTTCCTTTGCTGGCAGGGGGACAATCGTCTGTCCTCCTGTCCTCGTGGTTGTCAGCACACATTCCTGCACCTGCCCTGGACAGACCCACCAAGCTGCTCAGTGTGCTGAGCTGGCACTCTCGACAGCAGCTGCTGGTAAGACCGGGCCTGGCCTGTTCTGGACAGAGCCGAGACAGTGAAATTGTTAGGTTTTTCCAAAGCTGAGGAACACTGCAGCCCTAGAGCAAGGCTGTGGGCAGAATGAGATCTGTCTGGTGTGTGAGGGGTGAGGGACAATGGACAGGTCAGACTGGACCCCTGAACATGGCAGCGGCTCCTCCTGCCCAGCTGTGCTGCCTCTTGGTATCCTGATAATGTGACCCCAGACTGACGTGGAAGGAACATAGATGGCGATAATGATTTCTACTGTACTACTCCAGCCCTTCCTTGTGGTGGAATATTCTTTTTTTTTTTGTACTGGGGATTGAACTTGGGTCCTTACACTTGTGAAGCAAGCAGTGGAACCCTTGAGCTAAATCCCTGGCTCCTGTGTTCTCTTTTTTATTCCTCACAACCACTTCAAGAGTTAAGAGAGTGGCCGGGGATTTAGCTCAGGGGTGCCTCTGCCTGCTCCACAAGTGCAGGGTCCTGAGTTTGATCCCTGATAAAAACAAAAACAAAATAGTTAAGTGATTGTGTCCCTGTTTTATAGTGAGGAACTAAAGTGTGGTGAGGTGAAAGCAGTAATCTTTGTAAAATCCACAGCCTTTCATAGATGGAGCCAGGGTTGATCTCTCTTCTCAGCTCCGCCTTGAATGTGTAGCTGCTAGGTAGTGAGGACCGAGTTGCACCCATTAGCCCAGCTGTTGCATCCTTGCTCAGCTGCCTCGGAACCGAGGCTCAGGAAGAAGCTGCTTTCCATGTGCACTGTAGGAGTGGAGCTCAGGGCCGGGTAGGTGGTGGCGTGAAGTTTGGGAGGAAGCAGCCTGCTGCTGCTTTTTTGCATCCCACCAATTCAAGCATCAGTTGAGTCACTTTGGGGCAAAGGCTCAGAGGCACGGCACTGGGGGCTACATAGAGTCGGGCAGGGGTGGCTGCCTGGCCTTAGCTCCATGAAGGGTGTCAGAAAGCGTGTGGCCCTCGTCCTCCTGTTCCTCCTGTGGTTGATATTCTTCATCTGTTCCCTGAACCATTAGGCTGAATGGGGTGTCCACACTGGAGTTCTGTACCAGGCGTCTGGGGTGGAGTGACGTCTTCCCTCCTCACAGACCTTCTGGCTGGTCTGGGCTGTGTGTTTGCATGGTGGCATAGCTGGGTAGGGACCCAGCCTTGCAGGCAGACTGTGTGCCCACACAGCCTCCGTGCCTCCATGTCACTGACAGATGAGCCACGAGTAGCAGGAAGGGAAGTGCCCCCTGCCCCCGGGGGAGGGGACGCAGACTGCCAGAGCTGCTTGAATGGTACAGCAGCTTGGAATGGCATGTTACCGAATCAGACTGGAGAAACAGTTTTGAATGTTTAAACAAGGATAGTGCTAACAGTGTCAAATATTAAAATTACCTGAATTCTAAAAATAAAATGAGAACTTCAAAGAGTTTCCAGTTGGTGGCAGACACAAGAATCACCTGGGGTGACTCCTCAGATCTGGTCTGTTGCCACAAGGCCAGCCCTGTGCCTGTGCTGGTGCCTTGGGCACAGGCATGCGGAGCTGGTGCTGCCACAGTCCCATCGTGTAGCCAGGTGGGTGCCGAACATCTGTCCCCCCTTCTTCCCCAGCCTGCGGTCCTCCTGAGTTGGGACGGGGCTGCTTTTGTCTGGGCCAAAGCCTGCCACACAACCTGCCCTTACAGGTATTACCGTGGGACCCACGGGGTTATTGTGGTGTATGATGTCACCAGTGCCGAGTCCTTTGTCAACGTCAAGCGGTGGCTTCACGAAATCAACCAGAACTGCGATGATGTATGCCGAATACTAGGTGAGGCAGGGCTCTGAGGGTGGGGACAGTGGGATCGGGGACTGAGGGGCCAGCTGACTGTGTTCTGCCTTGAAGTGGGCAATAAGAATGACGACCCTGAGCGGAAGGTGGTGGAGACAGAAGATGCCTATAAATTTGCCGGGCAGATGGGGATCCAGCTGTTTGAGACCAGTGCCAAGGAGAATGTCAACGTTGAAGAGGTGAGCCCTGGGCAGAGCCAGGTGGGTGGCAGGGTCCACATGCTTCCCGGGAGGCTGCCACTGGCACTGTTTTACCACCAGTTCTTACCCTACTATCCTGCCCGGGACGTCAGAGAATGTCAGAGTGACCAACAGAAAATATCATAGTGATGAGCACTGATTGATTGATTGATTGATTGACGCCGGAGATCCAACTTGGGTCTTTGCACCTGCGAGGCAGGTGGCAGAACCACTGAGCTAAATCCCTGGCTTGATGAGCATTTATTAAGTGCTGTGGGCCAGCCTCTGTGATGGTCTTAGCTTGTGTATCAGTAGTCCTCTAAAGCAGCCATTCCCTAGAGAAGCTAAGGTTCTAAGTGTTGGATAATTTCAGGAATATTACTCAGCTAGTAGGGGGCTGGCTGGGTCAGTTTCGGTCTTTCCCAACCCAAAGCTGTGCGTGGTCTCTGTTCCAGCCCTCTGCCTCATTGACCCTGCCCTCTTCCCCACCAGTGTCACCTCCTCCTCCTCCTCCTGTGCCTCCTGAGCTCAGGTGGGCCTGCTGTGAACTAAAACTCTCCTAGCGATGCTGAGCCTCTGCAGCCTGGCTGAGCCTCTGGCTCAAGACTGCCCCTCTTGGCTTCTGCTGTGCCTGCTGGAAAGCAGTTGTAATCCAGAGTGAGAAAAGCCCGAACTTTTGCCACAGCAGAGCCTGGCCCTACTCGCTGGCCTTTGGGGAGTCCTGCCTTCCCGTGTGCAGAGCCCTAGGGAAGTCGGGACACAGGGAGCACAGTGGTAGGAACATAGTCTTCTCTGAGGCAGGCTAGAGTCCAAGTCCTGGACTCGCCCTCTCTTGGCTTCATTTGTTTATCTGCAGATTTGGGGGAGTCAGTGTCTCTACCTTCCAAGTTTTGAGGACTGAGATGAATTAAATAAAGTGCTCTGCACAAAGTATACGCTTAGGATGTGTTGGATCTGCTATTTTGCGTGCCTACTCCCGCCACTGCGGTTGCTGTTGCTTGTCTAGGTGGAGTAGAGGACTGGATCAGTAGATGGATCTTTACTGAGTGCTGGCCCAGGAGGGATGCTGGGTGCTTGGGAGAAGTTCCAGGCATGTCTGGGCCCCAGGTGTAGTGAGGTGGCATGGGGTGGGCAGGTCAGAAGATTCCATCTTAAGAAAGGGGTTCTTCCTCTCTACTAAAAAAAGACTGGAAAATCCCTGAGATTGACTTCCCCAAGTCACATAGCTTGAGTCTTTAATGTTCCCTTTTAACTTTTAAATAATTGACAGCCTCCTCCTAGAAAGGGTTTTGAGGACAAAACACCTTACAAGCAGAAACAGGGCTGGGCCTGGGGAGGTGGGCGTGCGGGCCAGCACGGTCCTCCCTGCAAGGTCTGAGGCAGCTCTGCTGTGTCTTCCCCCTCCAGATGTTCAACTGCATCACAGAGCTGGTTCTGCGAGCAAAGAAAGACAACTTGGCGAAACAGCAGCAGCAGCAACAGAATGACGTGGTGAAGCTCACGAAGAACAGTAAACGAAAGAAACGCTGCTGCTAATGCCCCAGTCTGCTGCGGAGACTGCACTGTGGTCCCTCCCCCAGCCCGAGGCCCAAGGGGGCTCCTCGGGGGACAGTCTCAGTTTTGTGCCCTTATTTAAAGAATCCTCTCCACGTTTTTGTATTGGGAGGTGCCATCAGCACTTCCTCCCTCCCCCCGAGTGCCAAGAAGGTGTTGGAGGAGCCTGCCCTTCCCCACTGGTGCCCTCCTCCCTGCTGAGGCGCCTGGACCTGGCGAGGACGCTGCCAGCGAAGCGGACTGATTAACAGTTTGTACATAGTGTATATTGCTTTAACCAGCTGCACACCCTCGTCCTGTTCTGGCTTTGCCTCCTTAATGGCAGCCCGCTGCAACACAACCTACCCCGGCCCTCCCATCTTATCTAATGGCCAGCAGCTTCTGGAGGAGACTGCGTCATGTGCTAGCACATCTTGGGCTGGCCTGGGACAGTGGAGTGGGCTCCATGTTGCCGATTCTTTCCTGCAGGCTGTCAGTTTCAGTCCTTGGCATACAGGGACTGTGCCCATTCTCCTGTCCCCACAGTTGTGCTGGGAGCTGGGGAAACCTGGCCTTGAGGTAGTTGTTGCCCTCTGCTGGCCCCAGGCCGTTGGTCCAACAGAGGAAGTCAGTCTTATCCTTTGGCCAACAGGTTTCTCATCCTGCTCCTGGACACCTGCTACAAACCCAGGGGAGCCGTGGCTTTTAACTTATCAACATGTTTCAGTTCCAACAGAAAGGTAGGAGTGTGTTTGTGCAGAGATGGGGCTTGTTGGAGGCGAGAGGAGCCAATATCTGAATAGATAAAAGAAAATGAAGCCAAATCAAATGAATTAAGTTCTTCAACATTCTTTCCCTGAGGTTTGATTGGCAGCAAAAGTTGTGACTGCCCCACTTTGGGTCCAGTGTTTTTAGAAAAATTGAATTGCTTCCCATCATTGTGGGGCTGGGCCCTGGGCCCTTGGCCCTTGGAACAGGAAGGGGATTTGCATCCCTGTCCGTGTTGACCCTCCAGGGCTTCCCACTGGAATTCAAGTCCAGAGTGAGGCACTACGCACCTCTAAATGTGAGGGGGGGGGGTGATGCCTCTGACCTGGATGGGCAGCCTTGGATCACTGACAGAAACTATTTTAGCATGAAGGTAGTAGGAAGACTTCTTGGTGGAGAAAAGTGGCAGTGGGGCTGGGGACAGCCTGGTTGTGATGCACCCCAGTCCTGTGGAGGAAAAACCAGGGTCACCTACATTTGGTTAGTTCGCCTTCATCCCTGGGGTCCTTCATTCCCATTTTCCCTGAAAGGATCATGTAACCTGGGAAGAAAATTATTTCAACACCATGATGTGTTTTATTCAATTTCCTTTCCTGGGTGATTTCCAGGCAAAGGCTGGATTGGACAATCACCTCACAGATCACACTGCAGATTTTCCATGTTAACACTGTGGATGGGTTTTTAATCAATAAAAATGGGTTTTTTTTTCTCACCTGTCTCCACTTGTCCAAACTGTCAAAGCCAGGGTTCTGTGATAGGCCTTCGCTTTTGAGCCATGGGCAGCCCTGGAGGGTGCTACAGATGGACCAGTAGGCAGCCTGTCTTGTCTGGAGGAGCCAGGAGCAGAGTAAGGTGTCCATCCTCAGGACTGTCCTAGCTGGCCAGGGGCCTGTGAGGTTTGCACACAGCTCAGGGCTCCTGTGGTTAGGGTCGTTCTTGTCTCGGCGCACTCAGGTGAAGCCAAGTGTGGGAGTGCTTGCAAATTCAAGCAATAGGAGGGCGATCCTGGGAGCCTCAGTGGCTTCTGGCACCTGGACATCCAGACCCAGGTTGGGGTGGTGGTGGTGAGGACAGAATGCCTGTCCTGCTAAGTGTTACACGCATGACCAGTGGGTGGTCGGGTGGGGGTGGGGATTTGGGTAGACCTACATCCTGGTGGACCTGATGTGAGATTTGTCAAAACTTTTAAATGGTTTGCTAGGATTATTTCTGTATTGAAAGTTTCTAATTATGCTTTTTAAAAAAAATACTAAAAATAAAGGTTCAAGCTGCCAAATTTTCTTTCAGGGTCTGTTTGCTGTCCCTCCAGCTATGCGCTAGGTGGGCCTGGCTTTTTCCCATCCATTGTGTGTAGCTCTTGTTTTTGCTGTAAGTGTTGCAAAGGTGCCTGCGGAGGCCATTTTCTGAGTGGTTGGCCCAGGTCACGATTCCCCTCCAGACTGATGCATTGGCCTGGAGCACATGTGTGAAGAGGCCAGGGAAGCTCCATGTTTATCGTCTGCATGCCAGGAGGACACTGGAAGCTTTTGCCTGGAGCAGTTTCTTCCTGGTTTAAAACTGCCAAGCTCCAGGCCCTGCTCTCAGCCTGCAAAACTACACTAGCGGGAGCCTGTGATCAATGGGCAGGGTACAGAGCAGGATGCCACCACCCTCCAGGAGAGGACAGGGCCCCTTTCCTCGCTTAATTCATTGGGTACCAGAGTAGGAGGGGGCCTCCCAGGTGCAGGGCCCACTGTCACACTACCTCTTTATCAGCTGCCAGTGCTGCTGTGACAGGCCAGCTGCACTGGGACCAAGTGACCCTCACCAATGACTGAGGCAGGGAGCTCTGTAGAAACTCAGTTTATTCTTATTTAGACTATTTTCAAAAGAAGCTGTGGTACGCTGTTTTTCTAAAAATATGCCTTTATAGATTTATATATGTATATTATAAAACCCATACATATATTTACATGATTGCTACATACAAAATTACAGCACTGTGATATGTACATATCTATAGGTACATTCTTTCTGCTCATCCCTGCTGTGCTTGTCCCGTGAGGGAGGCTGAATCAGTGGTCAGCAGCTGCGGGCTGGCTGGGCCCATGGAGCCTCTGAGTTGGGAACTCAGCAGAGCTGGGAGGTGGCTGCTGCGAAAGCAGCAGGCTGCAGGCCCTGTCTCTCTGCAGGCCTGGTGGGCAGTGTCCAGAGGCCCCCATCCTCCCCGCGGTGCTAATGCTGCCTTTGAGGTGGGGGTTGCTGACCAGACCCCTTTGAGGCCATTATGTACCAAGGAACTATATTTGAGGGGAAGGGAGGCTATGGGAGGAAAGTTAAGTCTCCTCCCAGGCCTGGCCCCAAGAAGGGAAAAGGGCTGTAGAGGACCAGCAAGAACCTTGGCTCAGGCCTTGTTAAGGGGTAAGGATTGTTCGTGGGGAGGAAGGTCGTGGCAGCCAGGGGACAGGGCCCTCCGTCCTCCCTCGAGCTCAGGATGGCCTCAGCCGAGTTTGAGGACTCTCTAGCTCTTAGGCCCTATGGCCACAGGCTGGGCCTCCTGCTCACTGAGGGCCCAGCAGAGGTACATGCACTGGGTGAGGGGTTGTGCCTCCCCTTAACTCTGGGCCAGTGGCTGGGCAGGAATGGAGGCTCAGGTCTGGGCCTCCTACCTGCAGGACCAGGTCTCTGGGGCTCAGACCTCCTGAGGCATGCAGATGAAGGCCTCCATTTCTTCTGTTCCCTGTTTTCTAAAACGGGAGGCAGCAGTGCCTGCAGGGTGGGCTGTGATCAGCAACCAAGGGACCAGTCTAGGGCTCAATAACAGGATCCTGGAGAAACCCAGGCTGAAACTTGGCCAGGCAGTGGGAACAGGGTTCCTGCCTGTCCCTCTGTCGAGACAGTTTTCTGAGGTCAACGCAGGCTCCCACCTCTTGGTCTCCATCTGCACCATCTGCACTCACAAAAAGCAAGTGTTCCTGGACTGACCATGCCCTAGTGCAGGCGGGCAGTGTGGTGCTCAGCTCAGGCCACAGGGGAGGCAGGCCCTCTCTCACACTGCCTCTGCAGCTGGCTCCAGTGTCTACCCATCCCTGGACCCAGCTCCTCTCAACTTAAATTTTCCTGAAGAATGAGAAAAGCCCTTTGCCTTCTGTGGTGCTGGGCTCAGCCCCCCGCCCCATGCCGTGGCCCTTGGAGAAGGCAGCAGCAGGCAGGCTCCGTTCCTTCAGGTGCGTGTCCATCAGCTGCCGGTCAATGACCCTGTGCATGTCATCCTGCGGAGGAGAGTGGGCAGGGCTAAGCAGAGACTCTAGCCTGGCCTGGGTGAGCAGGGAGGTGGTAAATGTCGGAAGGAGAGATGGAGATGAGATGAGAGTGGCTCAGACTGCCTGTCCAGAATCCATGGGGCACCCAGTCTCCTCAGGGCTTGAGCTGGTTTCTCTTTGCCAGAATCCTTCCTTCTGGTCCCTCTCCCTCACTGCCCACTCAGATGGGTCTGTCCCTAAGGGTCCAAGTAACACTTCAGCCCCACACCAGCACTGTCTTGTCTGTGAGCAGCTGTCTTTGATGCTCCTGGTCACTTGTTCATTTGTCTGGGTGCCTCTGGTCTAGTCTGCTGCCCCCACCCCATTGGCCCAAGGTGACGTGACCTCAGCTTGCCAACTCTCCAGCATAATGGGCTGGCCTCAGGAGGTCTCTGCCCTTTTCTGCTCCTTCAAATTACTTCCAGTCTGAGATGCTGATGCCCATGCAGCCCCATGTGTCAGGAAACAGGCTGCCTGGGCTCTGCTGTCCCCACGCACCACCACCAGTCTCTAGCTGTGGCACAGATCATGGGCATCACCATCTTTGGGGGCTCTCTTCACCAATGCAGACCCCTGTCCACTAGCTTCTTCACTGCAGGAGGATCTTACAGTATTTGTTGGGTGGCTAGAAAATGGGCTCCTGGCCTGTCTTTCAGAATAGCACCTTTTACTTCAACAGGGTGGCTCTGGACAGTATGTCCACTCTATTTTAGTGGCCTGATTCTGATTCTATGGAGGATTCTATTTGACAAAGGAGCTCTCTATGAACAGTTTGAAAACTAATGGCTCAGTTTGTGAGCAAGCCTATGTAATCATCAGCAAGCAAAACAAGCATTTGCTTGACAACTTTAGCCCCAAACATAGCAGCAGGCTCTGGGATGTGCTGGTAAAGACCCCAGCTTCTTGCCAAACCCTGGAGGGAGTCAGCAGCGGGTGTTGAAGCACAGGACAGGTGAGGCCTGCATTCCAGTAGGAACTCCCTGCAGCTTGGGAAGACAGACTTGGGCTCAGAGTGGCCACTCACACATGAAGGCAGGAATGTGGGGTGGCTGCATCCCTCTTCCTGACCAGCTTGTCCACCACTGCCTCTGTCTCACACAGGCTTCCACCCAGGGAATCACTCACATGCCTTTGTGGGTTTCAAGGTAAAATCAAAGGACCTTCTTGCCTTGTCACCAGGTGGTCAGGGTGGTGAGTATGGGCTTTACCTTCCCTTATGATCTGCATCTCCGCCTTCCTCTTCTCCTGTCCCCACCCTCAATCATGCTCGGCTTCCTGCCTAGAACCTTTCCTCTTCCCCACCTTCTCCCTCCCCCTCAGATCTGACTGATCCATGGGACTCAACTTCCAGCATGCCAGGGTAGAATCCTGGGCACAGTGCCCTACTCTTAAGCTCAATAAAATCTATGTAACAGGAGAATGTTAAAGGGTCTTTTGGGAAAGACATCCTTTCAAAGCTGCCAATGTTATTTTCTGGCACATTATAAACTGTACCTTTATACTTTAAACCATTCAAGGTAATCTCATGAGATACGTACTTCAAAACTTCACAAACACACATGTACGGCTCGTAATTCTGTGCCTGCTGTTATTTCTGTGGGCAAAACTATTTATGCAAAAGTGGCACCAAGAAACCAGGGTCAGCCTGTCAGAGACTGGTCAGCCTGTCAGTACTTGGCCATATGTTGCCGAGCTCATGAGAAATGATGGTGACAGGACGATGACCAGGGCTGGATGACATGTCACACCGCACACAGATGATGCCAGGCTCTGGCACACACAACATGGTGGGCCACAAGGGAAAGTGGCAGGGCAGGACAGCGATGGCAGAGTGGACAGGATGGGTGTGATACAGGGCTCAATCTCACCTCAAAGGCAGGAGGGGTGTACAACTAAAGCTGTTGATACAGGAACTGAGAAAGGCCACTAGATCAGAAACCAAAGGAGCCAGATAGTAAAAAGCCCTGAGGAAGCAAACTGCAGCCAGGAGAGAAGAGAGAGAACAGTGGTGGTAAGCAGGGCACAGCCAGCTGGCTTGCAGGGCAGGAGCCAAGGGACCAGTGAGCAGCACTGGCCAGGGCTCTGGGTGCCAGCCTCATGGGGCCCTGAGGGGAATGAATGGTCATTGCTAACCTGCTGTCACCTCATGGAGCTGCAGGTGGCTTACTAACCTGTCTGGTTAGGATTTCTAAGGGAGAGACATTAATTGGCTGCACTCACATCCTGACACTGTGTGACCTCAAATGCATCAACCAAATGGCACAGTCCCCACCAAGCCGGGAGCTAAGCTGGGCCCTGAGGACACCCTGATTCATTTTTCTCAGGTTCTGCACCAGCCCAGTGGAAAAAAAGAAGCTGCAGGCCTTTGAGAAGGGGTTAGCAGTGTTCTAGGGTCGCTACACTGCCTTCGGTCACTTGGGGCTTCCCACCCCTTCATGTTAACAGCTGTTTCTCTAGTTTAAATCAACCTCAGAAGACCAGTTGAAAGAGAGCCCCATTCCAAGTCTGGGGTGTGTCATTTTCAAGAGCACTCTTAAGTGTTCTTCCCCAGGAACATGGGGGACATGGGTTCTGATTTTTGTAGGTGAAGACAGTGGTTACTGTTCACCTATCACATGGGATGGACCCTCTAGTAGCAAACTCTCCTTACACTCTGCTGGGTTCAGACTCCTGGAGTCTTCTTGGGCCTGGGCCACAGAGCTCGTGTTTACCTGCCAAGCCTCAAGCTGCTGTGAGAGGTTCAGTTTCTGCTGAATGGCATCTAGCAGCTGGCTGTTCAGAGACATCATGTCCATCTTGCACTTGGCGAGTTCCAGCTCCACAGCATTCTTCCTGAAAATAGACAAGCCACAGTGAGCAGAGGCAGCTGGTTTTTTGCTTGGGCTACTTGGAGCCCACAGAGGCACACAGGCTCCATCCCAAACTTAACAACAAACAGTGACTGAAGACCACGTTGGCGTGAGGTTAGCTGCAACATGCGTTCACATTTATCTTTTCAACCAATGTTCATAACCACCCTGTATATGGACTGTCATTCCCACCTCAAAGACAGAAGTAAAGCTTGAAAGCAGATAAAAGAGGGCCACAAATGACTGGAACCCAGAGTACATCAAGGGCCTCATGCAGCACAAAGGAGCTACACATCCTTCCTACACCAGGGTACTGCCCACTAGAGGGTGGGGACTTGTCCTCCTGGGATGGGGGAAGGACTGCTCATGACTGGCTACACCTTAAGGGAACTGTCTCAAAGATAAATACGTGTAAAAATTCCAACACACAGGGCCGGGGATTTAGCTCAGTGGTGCTGCCTGCTACCTGCCTCCCAAGCACAAGGTCCCAAGTTCAATCCCTGGTACAAAAAAAAAAAAAAAAAAAAAAAAA